TCTTATCTTCTAGCTAACTGACATATGTTCAATAGCCATAAGCCAGTCATCAATTGCAACTTAAGTGGAAATGAAATTGTCCTCGAACCATGAAAATTGATTATAATTTTTCTTTCAAAATTCTAAAAAAAATAATAAAAATAATTTAAGATATTATTCATGTTATTTTCATTTAAAAAACATTAGTTTTAGGAGTGTATCTCTGTGCCAGATCACCTTTTCAACATAAAAAAGCAGTAAGTAAAACCCACAGGATGCAAGACAAAGGAGAATGAAATAGAGAAGAAATATGGAAAGAAAGCAAGGGAAAAAGAAAGGAAGGAATAACAAAAAGGCATAAGGGGGTAGGAGAGATGGCTCAGTTTTTAAGAAGACTGACTGCACTTGTAGAGGACCTGAGTTTTGTTTCCTAGTACCTCATGGCAGCTAACAACGATCTGTATCTCCAGTTCTAGGGAACATGGCACCTTCTTACAGCTTCCAAAGGCAGTCCATGACTTGAGCGCACTTACACACATGAAGGTAAAACACTCCTACACATAAAAAATAAATGTTTTTTAGAAATAAAAAGTTTTAAAAGGAAAGAAGAGATGCTGGATATGAAGTGGATATGAAAGGCAGGAAGGAATGAAAGAGAGTTTTAGGCAAAGGCAGACATGTTTAAAGTAGTTTCCTGACATTATCTACACTGGGGATTTATGATTATTAGTGCAATTCTTTCAGAATGGGTCAAGTTTTTGTTCTTTTCTCATCACCTGTCAGGCAGTGAGAAGAAGCCGCTATGCCCAATGTCACTGCAGTTAATCAGTTCATCCTTCTGGGGTTCTCCAATGGCCATGGACTTCAAACTTTGTGTGGAGTGCTCTTTCTGGTGATGTACCTGGCAGCCCTAATGTGTAATCTCCTCATCATCACTCTCATCACTCTGGACTTGCAGCTTCAAACACCCATGTACTTCTTCCTGAAGAATTTGTCACTACTGGATGTCTTCTTTGTGTCAGTCCCAATTCCCAATTTCATTGTCAATAGCCTAACTCATAACAGCTCCATTTCCATTCTAGGATGTGCCTTCCAGACACTTTTAATGACTTCCTTCTCAGCAGGAGATGTATTTGTTCTGACTGCCATGTCCTATGACCGCTATGTAGCCATCTGCTGTCCCCTGCACTATGAAGACATCATGAGTAGTGGTGTCTGTGTGTTGATGGCGGGCTTTTCCTGGGCCACTGGGTTATTCTTTGGAGCTGTATACACAGCTGGCACATTTTCCATGCCTTTCTGTGGCTCCAATGTGATCCCACAGTTTTTCTGTGACATTCCTTCTTTACTGAGGATTTCCTGTTCTGGTACACTGGTGGTCATTTACGCAAGTTTTGGAATTGGCATATGTGTAGGCATGTCATGTTTCATCTGTTTTGTGATCTCATACTTTTACATTTTCTCCACTGTCATGAAGATTCCTACTAGTAAAGGTCAGTCCAAAGCCTTTGCCACCTGCCTGCCTCACCTCATTGTTTTCACTATTTTCATTGTAGCTTCTTGTTTTGTTTATCTGAAGTCATCACCTAATTCTCCAACAATTACAGATAGGCTCTCTGCTGTGATGTATATTGTGGTGCCTCCAGTACTTAATCCTGTGATCTACAGCCTGAGGAATGCTGATGTTAAATGGGCTTTGAAGAGGTTGATACATAATATTTTTTCAAGGCTCTCACTTCATGTAACACCCTAAAGTATCTTCCAGTAGCCTAATGCATTGCCATTTACAGCCAAGTTTTATGATTTTTAACTTTGGATAGATAGAGTTAGATAAATTTTCTCTGAGGAAATGTTAACAAAATTTCCCAGGAAAAGCTGCATTTTGAAACTGAACATTCTACAGAGGCAATCAACTGATTAGAAATTCAATGATTGTAGACTCTTTGGAATGCTACTGGTCCAGAGTGTAATCATCATTCATCTCGGGCCATCTTTAACCCCCACTCCTTGCCGCCCTTTCTTTCTCAATAAACATTCTGTGACTAACAGATAAAAACCTTTTAGAGTGTGTTATTTAACAAACCCTTCAAACCAAAAATTTGAGTGTCATCAAATAGCATCTGAAATCTGTTTCTAAGATTTGACTTTTATATAACTTCTCATTTCATATTTCCAGAAATGCTTTTGAAAAGTATCTCGATTTATGATTTTCCTTTGTTTTGTTACTATAAAAACTTCATGAAACTGCTGCCGCGTTGGAATATTTCGATATGGGCTAATCTGAATCTGTGTTCCTTGGCCATGGTTCACTCATATTTGGCTCCAGGATAAACTATGTCCTATCACGTTGAGATGAAAGTTATTATGTTTTTTTATTCACAGAAATAAGAATATAAGAGCATTGTGTATATTTTTGTTGTCAATTTGATTATATCAGGTTAACATATAGAATCAGGATATTCATTTTGCAATTCTATGATATAATGTTTGAATTTTGGACTATAATTTTTTAAATAATTAGTTATTTTTTATTGGTAAGATTTCAAATCTGTTCATTTTAGCACAAGGGAGAAAGAGCAGAGGAAAAGAAAGGACGGGATAAGGAAAAGGCAAAGAAGCCATACAGATTTCAATCCTGCTTGGACGTCAGACATGTGGGGTACCGGCATCCACACCGCAGGGAGAAGGAAGCATCAAAGAAAAAGTAAAATTACAAGGTCTTGGGACATCCCAAAGCACTAGAGCAAACATGCTTAGAAAAGGGATATGAAGGAAAAAGGAGAGACTGTGCTTTTCTGAAGAATTCAAAAAAGTGAGACGACTTACACAGTTACATGCCTGTTGTGGATGGGTCCAGAAGCACTGCACTAGGAATCGGGATTTGAGACAGGAAAAGTTGACTACCTCCTTAACACACTAGGTAGTCTACCCTAATATTTATCATAGCTTAAGATGAACCTGCCTTCCTATGGATGATCCTATAAACAGATGATTGACCAGTGAAACTGGTAAAGTGGGTCTTCCAATCGATAGACTAGAAATTTTATAATCTTAATCTTATGGAACTTTGTGCTATGCTAACAAATTGAAAATTCATTCATTTTTTTGTTTTATCCACTTAAGAAATGATGTAAGCCTGGTTGTGGTGGCACATACCCTTGTTCCTGGCACTTTGGGAAAGAGGCAGAGGCAGGCAGATCTCTGTGACCTTGAGGTCAGCATGGTGTACACAGCGAGTTCCAGGCCAGCTGGGACCATAAGGAGACTCTCTCAAAAAGGAGAAAAAAACCTAAAGACATAAAAACCACTAACATAAACTCATACACAGTCAGATAATTTTTCTGTTATTGAGAAAGAACACCAGTTTAAAAAGCCAACGAGGTCCACAGCATTCTGGAAATTTAACTCAATCTATAAAGTAACATCAGAAGAGATGCTTAAAGCAAAGACACACCTGGAGGAAGACAGCAAAAACCAAGTTCTGAAAAACAACGTGTATCCTCAGATATTGAGATATTAACATAAAGACTTTGTAGAGGTCTAAATCTGTATGCATATGTTGCAGAAATTTCCTTTGAATAGAAAATTTCCCTCCAAGAGAGAGTGGGGAAGCTGATGAGACTTAGATGAAAACAAACTTCCAAGTTCTAAAGAGATGAAATTTAAAAAAACCTAGCTTCCTGGAAATACTCTCTGACCTGTCATGCTGCCTGTACATCAAGCAGAGAGCACCAAGGTTGAAGGTTTTCTGTGATGTCAGCAATGTTTGACCAGGGTGCATGTAGGGGTGGGTGGGTCTTAGGAGATCCTTGGTGATACAGCTGCCTTTGAGTTGTCTACGCTCCTGTAAGAAACTCCAATAAACTCATTGTCTCAACACGTTGGACTGTGATGGAATCATGACTTTGGTCTATCTTTGATTTCCTGTCTACTTTGTTTTGCTTCTCCCCAGGAAAAGTTAACACAGCAGTGGTTTATATGTGTATGTCAACCTAATTCCTATAATCCAGGATAGCATTACTTTGAATTATGTGGAGGTGAATTCTTTCCACATATGTGTGGAAATATTTTGTGGAACTGATTACAACTGTAGAAAAAAATGTCACTTTGTTATGACAGATTTCCTTTGGTTTATTTACCAGTGTCTTTGAGGGCAAAATATTTATCTTTATTATGAATACAATCTACCTTGCAAACAGGTACTTTATTAGGACAAATATCTGTGCTCTATATTTAATTATTCTAGCAAACCATAAGTTTTCTATGAATTTTTTCATGATGTACACCAACTTATAGTAATGTAAAAATGCTACTATACTGGAAGTAACAGCTTGAGAAAATGTCTACCTTTCTTTTTATCTTATCACAAATGAGATAAATCATCTAATCAGAAAACAAAGGACCATAGCCCTCTGGAGTATACTCTGGATCTTTAAAATCACTGCAAACAGCAAACCCCTGAAGCAATATGTTATGCGGTTCCCTAAAATCTCTATCTGATTACTAGCTCTGAATGATATTTCTGGGCAAAGGTAATCTTACCTAAATGCTAACCAAATTTAATCTTATGTTTTGAGATTTTTTTCACACTATCTCTACTTACTTATGATAACTTTGTTGTGCCTTGGGATTCCTTTGTAGCCTAAAGTAATATCATTAATCACTTATGAGCATTTCTTTTCTGAACTCAGAATAATGTGAGAATGTGTGTGTGAGAGAGAGAAAGAGAGAGAGAGCATTATGAAAATATCAAGCACAGAAAACAGTTAATATTCACTGGATGCAAGGAAGCTATTCCTTCATGTTTCTAAAATCTAGATAGATTTACATTGATAACATCTATTTGTGGTCAGGTATGCTCTTCTGGTCAGGAGAGGTCAAATAGGGGAAATCTAATAATAAGATGGTGAGATAGATTACTCATTCTCCATATCAAGCTGGATTCATTATTTCAATAGAGAACAAGGCCTTTGTTCCAGACAGAGAACAGTTCTAAGACAAAACTTCTGTGATCACAGTTCTGGCAGAAATCTGAAGGAATAGCTTAGACCCCAGTTTGGTTTTTTAAAAAATATTCTAATGAGCTTTTGTACATTTCATAAAAGAGTTCTTAATCAAATTTAGGGTCCCTTCCCCTCCCATCGCTCCCCACACATAGGACCTTATGCATCGTGCCATACATGTTAAGTCCTATCCCATCAAGCATTTGTACCCACATGTCCTTTGGTGCAAGTTCATCCATTGGAGTTGAGTCAGGCTATCTGGAGATCTTAAGGAAAGTCTACTCTCCCTCACTCAGCAGTAATCATTATCCAACAGTTGCCAGGCTATGGCCAACCTGTCACACATTTTTAAGGCTCCCAGGCTGGGACCTTTTCTGATTGAGATAGCATGGGTCTTGGGCATGATGACTCCATTGCCCCAAGTTCATTCGAGCAAGTTTCCAGTGGCCTAAATGCTTCTGTTTCCCTATTTTCATGGACCAACCCTGGCTCTTACAATCTTTCTGTTCCCTGAACCATGGACAGGGAAGGTTTAATATAGGAATCCCTTTTGGAGGATACAAACTCTGTAGTCTCTTATTCTTTAAAACTTAGCCAGTTGTGGCCTTCTGTGTTCATCACACTTTGTTATATAAGGAAGCTTCATTGGTGAGAGTTGAGGAATGTACCAGTATTCTCTGTACCTGCTATTCTGCAAGGTTCAACAAGGCTTCCATGTAGAGGTTCCACTGTAGCTGTGTCTTCTGGGGCTGAACATCACTCATACTCATATTCTTTGGATGTGACCAGTTGTGGAACTCTGTAGTATCCTCCATCTGTTCAAAAAGAAACTTCTTTTATGAATGGTGTATGGTGTACTTGTCTGTAAATATAAGAGTCCATATTTAACATATGGAAAGAAATTTAATTTGTCTAGAAATATGACAGGGATAGTGTTTTCTCTAGGATCTAAGACATCTCCAACCATGTATATTTGGCTATAATTACAGTACTACCCATGAGTTTATTCCCATTAAGAGGACTTTAATGGGCTGGAGACATGGCTCAGCAGTTAAGAGCAGTGGCTTCAAATAAGAGTTCTTGCAGAGGATCTGGCTTCAATTCCCAGCACCCACGTGGTGGCTAACAACCATTAGAAACCACAGTTCCAGGGGATTCAACACCCTCTTCTGACCTCCGCAGACAATGCACAACATGGGTGCACTTATACACATGAAGGCAATAAACTCATACAAATAAAAAATAAATAAAAAAGAGGATTTAAGTACAATTAGATAACTATTGATCACCCCCCCTCCATCCCGCCACCACGGCACTAATAAAGGTAGTTTGCTGTGTCAGTCATTATGGTTAAGAGTTTAGGGCTTTGCTGTATCATTCATTGATTTTTTTATTATGGTTAAGAGTTTAGGACTTTGCTGTATCATTCATTCATTTTTTCTGTTAGTAACTTGCATAGTATCTTCTAAAACTATGAGATCTAGTCTTCAAGGAAAAGGTTTCCAAGTCAATTCCTGCTCAATTTTTCCAAGTTGTGTGTTCAAAGCTGTCCTGTCTTCAATATTAGGGTCTTACCTTTGAGTTCTGGAAGGTAACCAAGTGCTCTGGAAATAGCCTATGTTATCTTGGGTGTCTCCTGGACTACTCGAGTCAACCACTCATAAGGAGATCTCTCCTGTCTAGCAATGTGCTCCTTGTTATAGAGCCCCCAGGTATACATGTGAACTAATGTTGAGACACCATATGTATA